GTATTGAATTTTTAGATAGATACAACAAATTATTATGCAAAAGGCTAACTTTTGCTTACTAGGCAAAGATACTTGGTTACAACTAGATGAAAAACCTGGGTACAGCCTTAATTAAAGCATTAAATTTTTAAATAAAGGCATAACAAACAAATTATTGTATGAAATACCAACTATTTGCTTACTGGGCAAAAATACTCATTTGCTTACTAGGCAAAGATACTTGATTATTACTAGGTGAAAAAACTTAGGCATGGTCTTGATTACTAAGCAAAAACACTAAACTACAACCTTGATTATTAAATAATAGCATTGAATTATACAAACAAAAAACATTATTATGTAAAGGACCAACTATTTGCTTATCAAGCAAAGATACTTAACTACAATTTAGAATGTTACCAGGTAAAGACTCCATACTTTCAGATAATTGTACCAAACAATTATTGGCAAATGATATTGATCCACCAATAATATTGGATAATATTTTTGGATCATTATTATCAGATGAAAAAAAAAAATAGTAATAATAAAAAAAAAAAGCAAAAAAAAAAATAATAAAAAAAGCAAAATGCTTTATTAATTTTTTTTTATCTGTTATGTCATCATCTAAGTTAATTTTACTATTTGGGATCTCTACTGTATTTGGAATATCCTCTTTATTAAAGATATTATTTGCATATAGTTTATTAACAAGAGTATAATTACTATGAAGCTTGTCTTTATAAACCAATTCATAGAAGTTTTTTTATATAACCTATACTATAAGTTATTTATGGCCACTATTACAAATCTCAAACTGAATAACCAGTCACTTTGACTAGTTGTTTTACTCCATTTACCCAACTTTTACTTCAATATACCATTAGCTCTTTCGACAAGACCTTGTGATTAAGAGTACTTGGGATACCTATTGATTATTCTTACAGAGAGCCAGAGACCAACCAACTCTTTAATAACTTATGCAACAAACTCTTTTCTATTGTCCAACTGCAGAATAGTAGGTGGTGATCCAAAAAGGTCAAAGAGATACAATGCGACTTCAATTGGTTTCTTGGATGTAAGCATCCTTGCTCAAGAAAATCTACTAAAATGATCTCTTATATAATACATATACTTAAACTCACTATCTAGAATATAGTCAGACCTCTCTAAATATATAGCTTTGGGTAACTAAAAAATATTGCATTTAGAGAGGTATTGTATTTAGGGAGACAAAAATTTATAAGTGTTATATAAGTTGGGGCCAAACAAGGCCATGTATTTAGAGAGACTATATATTTAGAGAATATGTATTTAGGGAGGTCTGACTGTATATAATAGATCAATTAGATTCATCTACAAAATAAAAATCTAATTTCGGTTCTTGATAGAGCTGACAAGATTACCTAACACATATGTAAGTCAGTGTGACAAGTCGCATCTGGGTGCAGTATCTGTAGCTGGATAATGCTAGGCTTGCAATTATAAAGGACATTTACTAGAAATAGGTTTTGTTTTAGAACAGATTTCACTATGAAATATTTGTATTTAAGCATCGACAAGGCTGTCAAAGAATAAAATAAAAAATAAAAAAATAAAAAAAAATAAAAATCTAATTAAAAAAATTTTTAAAAATTTTAATATTAATATCAAGAATAAAATAAAAAAACTTGCAATCATAACAAAAAATTTTTAGCAACTATAGGTTTTGCCACCAATAGATAGAATGCTAGCTTCCTTGCAGCACAGGATATACAATTGTTTACAAATTCCTCTACTATTCCCTGTTTTATATACCCCCATTTTTCATGAATCAATATTCAGGTTTGCTTCTGATCACCATGCTGAGTTACTTCACTATAAGTATAATAAAGAATATTATAAAACTTTTCAGTTATTAGCACAGAGTTCTTCGAAGTCTTTACAATTACTCTAAAATCTCTAGGCATAATTTTCTCTAACTTAAACTTGTTTTTAGCCTAACTATATAAGTTTTTATCATACAATGAAGTGTCTTTAAAATTTAATAGAATTGTTTTAATTTTATTTAAAAATTCAGAATTTATTAAAGCTTTCACTTATTTAACTTTTGAAAGATTAGTTATATACTTTTTTACAATATGATCAAGGGTGCTTCTACTAATAAATATATATTCCATCTTATAGTATTGAACTTGTAAAACCAGTTCAAAATAAAATATGTAAAAAAAAAATAGTAGTGCCAAAAACAAAGCAACACTAAATAAGATCAAAGAACAGGCTATACCAATATAAGTATAAATCAAAGAAATATATAGTACTAAATATAAAGCAGCATTAAAATATGTGACACTCAATGTGAAAACAATATGAAGACAATGTTGAGATTAAAAGAAAATATATAGCATCCAATATGAAAACCAAAAAAATTAAATGGTACCAAATAGAAAGATAGTGTATAAAGAGACAATTAAGATCAAAATTAAGTGGTGCTAAATATAGATATAGTGTTAAGATCAAAAAATTGATACCAAACAATTAATTCATTGAAGAAAAAAAAATTATAGGCACCAAGAACCAAGTTGACAACAAAACTGAATAAATGCAAAGCCAAAATTGAATATGAGAAGATGCAAAGCCAAAGTCAAACACAAGAAGATGCAAAGCCACAGTCAAATGCAAAGAAATATAAAGCCAAAGTCGAATGCAAAGAGGTGTAAAGCCAAAGTCAAATGAAGAAAACGAATGTAAAAAGATGAAGAGAACAAATGTGAAGAGATAAAGTTAATGAATATAAAGAGGTAAAGTTAACAAATGTAAGGTGTAAAGCTAATGAATATGGAAAAAAAAATTTGGAAGATACCAAAGATACAATGCTAAACTCCAAAAAAAGAAAGCAAAAAGCTTTTTTTTTTTTTGTTTTTTTTATAATCTTGTTTATTATAATATTGTTATTATGGTTGAAAAAAAAATTTTACTAATAATAATCTTGTATCAGATTATATCTTACACATGTTAGATAACCAAAAGACAGGTAATACATATCACCTGCAAATTGGTATCTGATATGTATTGGATTAGATCTAACACAAGAAAGCATCTGAAATACAACATATATATAGCTTTTATAAATATTGGTTACAATACCAAGTCACTAGTTTGTGCTCCCTTGTTGATAAAATGTAGCTAATAGCTATTGAGTCACTTTAACATACTTTTTTATAAGATTAAGAATATGAGCATTTGGTTGAGGAGTATAACAAATACTATATATAGTTCGAAAATAGTAACATTGCCTTATATAAGTTGTGCTATAATATAATAGTAAAACAAAAAAAAAAGAAAAGAAGATAAAAAAAAAGAAAATACAAGAAGAAGAAGAACAGAAGAAGAAGAAAGAGAAAAGAGAAAGAGGAAAAAGACCAAAAAGAAGAAAAAAGAAGATAAAAGAAGTTTATGTTTCATTTTAGAGTAGCAGCAATTTTTGTAATTCTTTTTTACTTTTTAATAAAATTATTATATTAACTCTGCAAATTGGTAAGATAATAATTTTTTTATATTAGTAGTATAAGTATCTACTAAATCATATAAGTTTTTTAAGCCATGTTTTTGGTATAGACTATAAACTCAATTGGCTTAGATTTTTATCTTTAAGACTTTAATTTGTTCAAATTTTTCTTTAAATAACAAATTAAATTTCTCTAGTATTTAATAATCCTGTTTGTTTTTATCTAGTAATTTTTCTAAATAATATGTAGCTTTTAAACAAGAGATTCTATCTTTTTCTTTGTTGCTAAGTTTGTCAATTTTTCAATATTTTTAAAAACTTGAATATTATTTTTATCAGCTATAAATAATATAATAAGATAAATATTCCTTAATATAAATTAATATTTAAATCTTTTTTAATTCTAGCCAATGCTAAATTATTTTCTGTAGATAGAGTTATAGCTAAGTCTTCACATAGGCCAGGGCTACCCATGAGTACCCTAAGGGTAGTATCAATAGGACTGGGCTTGGGCATCAAATTACAAACCCTAAGGTAGAGTAGGGTTTAGAATCACAAGCCCTTATATTATATAAGTAGGGCTTGGATACCAACACTACCTACCCATAAGCAGTATTGTCATAGAACACAGACATGAACAGCAGACAGTCTGAGACAAGACATTCACGAATATGTCTGCCAGAATTTTTTTGTCTCAGATATTTATGTTAATCAACAAGTGATCATTAGCCAATAAAATTATATATAAATTACTAAATTACTACTATATTAGCTATTACTATCAAGCGACTTAATTGTTGTTATTTTAGTATTTATTATATGATACAAACTATAGAAGTTAATAACTATGAATTTTAAACATACATAGACCTTCTTGAATGTTGAATATATTAAAATACTCAAAATGTATAACACTCTTTAAACCAACTTTTCTGGTAATATTTAAATAAAATAATAATAAGCTCTAAGATAATCAGTTGAACTATATACAATATAAAGCTTTTCAAACTCACCTTTAGCTCTTATTCATTTTTTAGTAACTTATATATGGTCAACTGATTCGCATTAGCCAGTTATTTTTTGAATCTAATTAATATTGTTTATTTAAAGTTTTAGATCTTTCCAAGACAGTTACAATTAATTAAGGTATTAATTTACTTAAACATGGCTTTCAAGATTAGTTGATTAGTATTAATTTATAACTAATTTTTTTTTGGTAAACTATAACTTGCTTTGTTTATTCAATTGCTAATTAATTAATTTTTCTACTTATTTATTAATCTAGATATTCGATATTTGTTGAAGACTAATTAGTTATTATCTAAATCTATATTTATAACTTAATCAAATTTTGATATATTTATTTATGTAATCAAATAAAGATAATTTATATAAAGCATAATTTATAATAAAAAAAATAATAATTGAATAGCTTATTTACTTTCATATTATTTATTTTATATCTGCTATTTTAATATCATTTTGATAACTATATATACTTAATTTTAAAAAAAAAATTAATGAAACGGAAGATCTAATAAGCAAAATAAATCAGATAATTTTCATTTTTATTTTTATCTATAGCTAGATGAACACTATTATCTAACTCTACAAAATTATCATTATCTTGGTCTTCAATTATATCAGTTTTCTCCTCTTTATTTAACATTTTTACCTACTCTTAAAGATACCACTGAATTCTGTTTCAGAGATATAAGTCAAATTGCATTCTTCATTATCTTCAGTTTCTTTATTATCTTTGCCTAAATACTCATTTTGTAATGAATCAATATTATTACTTTGTGTTGTTTGAGTTGAAGTACTATTATCATATATTATTTGAGTGAAAGTAGTGTTATTATTTGTTGTTTGAGTTAAAGTAATATTATCACATGTTGAAGTAGAATTTAAATAATAGTAAAAAGATCATCTGGCTCACAACAATGCTAATAAGTTATATCAGCATGCAATTTACTCATATTAGTGCTTTTGGTATCTAAAATATATATATATATAAAATACCACAAAGAAAAAATTCAAAATTTTTATTAAATAAAAATTCTGGTTTTTTCTTTGCAATATTTATTTAAAATATAAAAGTATTAATAAATTTTGTAAGTTTTGTAAATATTTGTATAACTATAATTTATCAAATACTTACTTTTAATTGACTTCATCAATTTGTTTGGATAAAACCTATACAACTCCACAATTGCTCTACTGAAGCAGCATTAACACAAATACCAAAAATTCTACAAGCTACAAATTCTAATTCGTTAGTTGCATTTTTGATATAGCTCCAATAATCTAGAACATCATCATTTTTAAAATATTGATAAGTATCATCATCAAAAGAATAACTTTTTAAACAAAAATTATTAAATTCATGAAGAATACATTTTGGGTCTTGACCTGCCTATGCATGGTAATAATAACTTAACCATTTTCTAAAAATAGAATAGTTAATATTAGTTGCATAGCCTGAAATTGACTCATTCTATATTTAGGATGTAAAATTATTGATAATAATAAAATTGGCTATTCCTATTTATTCTAATATCATTCAAGTCTTCTAATTAATTTGGTCACCAAATCATTATTATTATCAAGATTTGATATCCAAAATTGTACAAGATAAGCTATGCTAAAAGTAACTTCAAACAATCAGGCTTTATCTTGTTAAAGCATATTAAATAACTTGCAATATGGAGTAAGAAGTTTAATCAAATCCTTAATTTGATCCCAAAAATTATTAGATCCAATAATTTTATAAATTTCATGATAAATATAATTATCTTCTATATGATGACAAATTTTAGAAAAAGGTGGTTTAAATTTTATAGCCAATATCTAAAAATAAATATATATTATAAAAAATAAATATATTAAATTATACAATTGTCTTTCCATACAATCACACAGTTAGGCACATAGTAAATTTTTTTTAAAAATGTGCTTTTAAAGGGGTTGTGCTTATATGGAAGTTTTTTTCTTATAAATTAAAGCATAGTTTGGTCTAAATAAAATATAATTATATATAATATAACTATATGGGAGGTGATTATATAGAGGGTCAACTGTACAAAAAAAAAAATTATTTAATATATTACTTCTAATGCTTCTTGTGTATACAAAAGAGTTGTACATATAAAAAATAAACTATTCTATCTAGTTTCACTAAAAGCAAAATTTGCATAAATTTTATGATACAATTCATACTGTTGATTGTGTAATTAACCAATAAAAAATTGATTATTAGCATTTCGAAAATAATTAGCAAGTTTAATTTCCTAATCAGTAGTTTTTTTCAGTAATAAAGATTCTTTAAAGATTTACTCACACATAAATTCAATTGATAGGCAAAACAAGGTAAAAAAACTATTGATCTTTTTGAAATTTTTAAGCAACATCTAAATAATTAAAAATATAATCAATAATTTAATTTTATAATTGGGTGGCTTTGTAATTTATTGCTATAGCAATATATTGAAAGTTTCAAAGTTGTGCTCACAAATCATTAATTTTTAACCTCCATATAGATTAGTAATATATTGCTATGACAATAAATTATATAATTTAAAATATATAATTACCTTGCAGCCACATAAATACCTGCACTATCTGTAACAATAGTGCATACTTTAATATTCATTACTTCTAATTCTAAAAGCATTGATTTAGTTTTATTTATAACTTCTTGATAATTTTTATATTCAGAACTAATATCAATAGCTTTCCAAATATATGGCTTTCCTTCAGATGATAATAAAACAGTTTCTAGAAGATGCTTATTTTTTATATTTGTCCATCTATCATATGTTAAAATTAGTGTTTTGAACCGTCAACCGAAAGCTCAACCAAGGCTGATCTGGGTAGACTTCCGGGTATTCCCAGCTAATCGCTGATGTTTGTTTATATTGGGTAAAATAGAATGCATCAATCCTATTTTACCTGATGTAAACAAACATCAGTGATTGGCTGGGAATACCCGGAAGTCTACCCGGATTAGCCCTGGTTGAACTTTCGGTTGACGGTTCAAAACACTAGTTAAAGTTACACCTATCTGATCTTTTTTTAATGCAATTTCCATATTCTTATTTGTATCTTTAATAACTTCAGTTAAAACTTGATTACCTAATATTCAATAATCTAGAAGTACAAGAAGTGGATTTAAAAATTCAAAACATGCTTTTACTTCAGGGTTATTCACCCAAGATAAAGACTATCTGCAGAAAATTGTTATTCTAAGCAAAAGCTTGTTGAATTGTTTAGCATCTTTTTTTGATAAAACCCAAACAGCATAGTTGTCTATTAAACTATAAAGTTCTGAATGAACTACTATTTTTTGAAATAAATCTGAAAGTTATTCATCATTTAAAAAAAGATTAGTATAAATTTTTTATCTTACAAAAATAGATCAATTTAATTTATATTATATCTCTTAAATTGTTTTGCAGCCAAATTTGCCTGCAACTTTTTTTAAATTTAATAAAATTTTAAATATTGATTTTAGCTATATATTTTTTAAATAAAATATTTAATTTAAGATTTGTTTTATTAACTTTGTTAAGAAAATTTTTTAAAATTATTAG